GATCATATTGTTGAAAATTGTTGGAACTAATTCCTATATAGACAGGCTCTTAAAATCTGTATTTTTCCATACTATTGGCCCGTTTCTTGATTGTTAATGCAATTTATACCCTTTACTAGGGGTGTGCGAAAAAAATCCAATATCTGATCCGATTCGATCGGAAAAAACTAGATATCTAGAAATTCAGATTGGATTCGGATATCAATTTTTGGAAGATTCGGATTTCCAGATCAAATAACGGATTGGCTCTGTAAAGAAACCGAGTATCCAGATTCGATCCGGTTTTATCCATAACTACAAGTTTTAGGAAGTTATTTTGGGGTTCTAGGTGAAAAGTGGTAAAGTATGTGGACTGTTAGATATTGTGATGACAACTTTGGGGACAAAAGAGATGCTGATGTGGCAGGGGTACTAAAGAATAATGCAAAAATTTATGGGGCCAATAATTTTCCATACAAATTCGAACAAACCGGGTATCCAATTTAATCAATCTGAATATTCGGATCAGAAGAAATCCGAATCGGATTCGGATCAGAAGAAATCCAAATCGGATTCGGATCGGATCAGAAAAATGCAAAACCAAATTGAATATCTAGTTTTGCACACCCCTATCCTTTAGGAAGCATTTCGTTCAAGGAATCTTATATTAATAGGAAGATAGATTACCTTGAAGATTATTAAAAAGGGTCATTTAGTTAGTGGTTATAAAAGATTACTATGATAATCTATCTTAAAATCAGGATATTACCTTGTTTGGTTGTTAGGTGATAAAAAATTCTGATAACCTTCCAATACCAATAGTGGTTAATGTAAGTAATTTTAGGGGTAATCTGATTACCGATTGAAATGGTAGTATTTTAAGATTACTGGGTAATCCAATTCTTGTTCCTATTTTACCCTTAATTAATTAATATTTCAGACACAAATGTCTTTGTATGTTTATCAAATAACAATTAATCTAACTGTGCAAAATGACTTATGTAATCTCATAAATTAATTTTTTGGACAAAAATATCTCTCATTTTACATAAATTAATCTTAATTTTGTTACCATTTTACCCCTAAATAATTAAATTTTTGGATAATAATGCCCTTATTAGTATTTAGTGGATCTTTTGGTTGAAAACTGTTGGAACTAATTCCTACATAGACAGGCCTTTAAAATCTGTATTTTCCACACTGTTGGCCCATTTCTTGATTGTTAATGCAATTTAATTGTACCCTTTAGTTAATTATTATAACTTTGATTAATTTCACGAACTCTTACGTCAGAATCCATTTTATTATTGATCAATTAGTGACATAGAACACTTTTCTTTCGTTTTATGTATTCATTATTTAATCATTTATGTTTCTTTTTTTTCCAAATAAATAATCAATCTTGGTACTCCACTAGCAGCCAGCAGCCTTTTAACATATGAAATTAACAGAAGTTAATTTATTATAGATTTGTTAATGGAAGAGCAACTAAAGATTGATTCTGTTGGCATGTTGATTGACATTTAATTTTAGTTCTAATTTTATTCATTTCCCCAAACTTTAACCTAGTAATAAATATTTAAAAATTTTAAAGTAAACAACTACTTTGTTAATAAGTTTTCTGATTATTATTTTAAGAAATGTTAGAGAAAATTTATTTTAAGCTAGGGTCTGGCTTTCACTTAACAACTCATTTCATCATCTGACTTCATCCCTATCATTATTGGTGATGCCACGAGGTGGAGGATTAGATCATCAAAATATTGATCTTATCACAACTCACAACCAAAACTATGATATGTAGGAGATTGGATGAAGGCTGAATAGAAGGTTTAATCTCATCCATGATATTGTGCGATAAATCCTTAAGCATGGATTCTATGGATTCACGCTATGTGTTATACTTTTTAGGTTAATTTTATATACAAGTTTGTCATTATAACACTATATAAGCCAATTTTTTACTCTAGTTAGGGGCTTAGATTACTTTTCTTTACAGCCGCACATATATACAAAAAAGAGCAAAAAAAAAAAAAAAACACAGCCAAGAATAGTGGACGTAAGATTTGTATTGGGCATCCAAATCACTTTAAAAATCGTTTTCTTTGTGTGCTTGCTTGTTTTAATTTGTGTTTATCATCTATCTATTGATCCAACATCAAATCCACGGGTTTTATACAAACTCTAACATGGATCTCACCAAAGATCCGACACACTTTTCATTAGTGCAAGTTTCTGCATCAACACTAAAATTAATTTTTAAGTGTTTACCAAGATATGAAGCGAATTAAGGTGAGTGACTTGTGCGAGATATGACATGATAAAAAATTAAACATAGGAGAAAGTCTTGGGCACATTGATGAACCGACGTCCACCCACACCTACTTACACTAGAAAATATCTGAAATTTTTGGAAGATTTATTTATTTATTTATTTTTCACTAATATGAAATACTACCGTTGCTGATACATACGATTCAACAACAAAATTTTTATCGCCTAATGTGATAAAGGGAGATGAACATTTACTAATGAAGTTAAATTAAATATTATATATATTCGATATTTTATTGGGACATAGTGGATTGTTATTTTAATTATGAAATTAAATTAATTATTAAATTTAAGTTTTGAAATTATAATAATAGTATTTACTTAAAAATAACATTTGGAGGTGAATATAGTCCAACTTTTTTATATTTATATGTCGTTGGGTAATTTACAACACCACTTTAGAGTAAAATATATCTCCATTCTTTCTTTGATCATTTATTTATTTATTTTCTTTTCTAAATTTAGCTTTGTCCTTGCATTAGTCTATTCAATTTTCATGAGAAAAAGAAAACCAATAACAACTATCTCTAAGTGATTGAATGATTCAATAAAAACTTTTAGGTGTATTACTCAAGAGATCTTAAGTTCGAATCTCTTCTTAGTTGTTAATATGGTAACTATTGTAATTCTTATCACCCCGATAGTTTCAGAGTTCCGAAGAATTAGTTGAGGATGTGTAAATTGACCCAAACACCTTCAATCATAAAAAAGAAAAAGAATAACTCAATTCCAAAGATTTTCTTCATTAATAAAATCTAAAACAAATAAAAAGAAAACCACAAATTCATTAAATATTCTCCACATGTACAGAGAAATCACTGTGAGAGGAGGGGCCATCAAACACTGCCCCCAATTGACTATCAACACTCAACATTTCAATTGGATAACAACCATTCAATAAAAATTGATTAAATGTCAACGACAATTCCTCAAACGCTAAACTTTATACCGCAATAATAATATTAAGATGTCAACTTCATTCTCTCAAGAGTTTCAATTACCTAATCAATATCAAATAAGAATATTACTATCTTATACATTTCTTCATTCAATAAAAAATATTTTTTCATTTTAAAAAGAATTATTATTTTCTTTATCATATGGATGGATTCACTGTGATCATATAAAAATAAGTATTACCATTACATTTTGCACATATAAATTTTGTAATCTTAAACATAAATTTGCAACATATTAAAAATAAGATTCGTCAAATTGTTACTTGTCACAGTCCATCGATGTTGCAAGTCTAAATATCCACATGTTCAATGTTATAAATATATATTTCATTATTACAAATATTTTACGCTCCCAATCTCATTACGAATCTAATATTAATTCTTGAAAACGAAAAAAGTTTTTTATACATCATGTTGCCCTAAACCCTAAACTATTTAATAAAAAATTTGCATGCCACAATTACCTCTAGGTGGTTCAATAGGGACTTTTGGGTATATTACTCAAGAGGTTGTGAATTTGAGTTTCTTCTTTGTTACTAATAGGGGTAGTCACTAGAGTTCTTACTTGATCGGTAGTTCCAAAGTCCTGCGTGACTAATTGAGGTGAGCGTAAGTTACCCCAGACACCCTCGGTTATTAAAAAAAAAAAAAAAAAAAAATTGCATCCCACACCTAAGTAGAAAATAATTGTTTTCTAATTGTCTATTGTAATACAACATAATGTGTTTGTGTGTCTATATATATATATATATATTAAAATTATGAATCGTGATAAGAATCATGATAAATGAGATGTTTTAAGTATAAATACATAAATGACCAAATTTTATTAGAGTGACATATGAATAACTAGTAAACAACTTTTTCCCACCCAAGGTTTGCCTTAAAGCACTTTCTCACCCAAAAAGTTTCAAAATATTATTTTCTCACCCAAAGTTAATATTCCTTTACTACCCAAAGCCGATTCTGGTGGCAAATTTTTTTTCGTCTCCATCATTTGAACCTTCGGTCTCTTCTCTGCAAAACCTCTCTCTCTTCAGTATCTAATTTCTAGTCGATTGCCGACTACCGTAAAGTTATGATTTCTATTCTTAGTTGATTTTTGGCTTTTTTTAGTGATGAATATTTAATCGGTCACAAGCATTTGATCCACGACCTCCACTCTAAAAAACCCCTCTCACGCTGGCTCCTAGTAACTTGCCGAATGTCGATTGCAAAAGTGAAGTGTATTTTGGGTATAATGGAATATAAACTTTAGATAGGAAAGTGATAGTTTGAAACTTTTTGGTGGGAAAGTGTCCTTAAGGCAAACCTTGGGTGGAAAAAATCGCTTACTCTATGAAAAACAGATACGCTCAAAACATAAAAGGCTTTTCAGTACTAATTCAGTTATATAGTGTGAACACTAGAAGAATATTTGCGTCTGTTTGTGATAGACTGTTTGAATGAGCTTAGATTTATGTAATTAATTTGCGCATGCCCTACTAAAAAAGAAGATACCAATACAATCCACCAATCTCTTCCAACATTCCTCGTATCATCCTCTGCCACAGCATTACTTTAAGTTGAGTTGAATATCTACTCATCCTAGTTGCATCCCCATCATGGAAGAAATTAAATCTCAAAATCATATCTTGTTCCCCTAAAAAATTATTCCCTGCATTGAATTTATCTTCTTCATAGATCTTTTTTTCCACCTTCACTACATTAACCACATTGAACAATTCATCATTCTACCCTCTTCCTCTCTCCCTCTTTCAAAATTTCTAACACTAGCAATTATCATGAAAGCAGAAGAACAAAGTAGTTTTTCAAATAAGTTTCATCATTAGGCCTTTTTCAGGTTCATAACATGGTGTTCATCAAAGTATTTTGGCTTCTTTTTCTTCGGCATTTGGTTTTAAGTTCCGGGTATGCAAGTTTAGCCCATCACAAACATTTTCACCACTCGTTGGTCACAGACAAGGCTGCTCTAATGGCGTTCAAAAGAGCCATAACATTGGATCCAAATTCAACACTGGCTAACTGGGAAGAGTCAGGAGATGTCTGCAACTTCGCCGGTGTCTTCTGCGACAAACCCAAGCACCGCGTAGTTCGACTTGTCCTTGCAGAATGTGGACTAGTTGGACCTCTCTCGCCCTTTCTCTCGAATCTGACAGGCCTTCGAAAGCTACTGCTTTACGATAATTACTTTTTTGGTATCATCCCATCTGATTTCTCCAACCTCAGAAACCTGCATTTTCTCCAGCTTGATGGGAACAATTTACAGGGCTCAATCCCAGAGTCCTTTGCCCTTTTTTCTAAACTCACTTTATTAATGATTAATGATAACAATTTAACAGGCACACTTCCACCTTCCTTCTTTTCAAACTGTACTACTCTTAAAAATGTAGACTTATCTCGCAACTTTTTCTCAGGAAAAATTCCTCAGGAAATAGGAAACTGTCCAAAGCTTTGGAACCTGAATTTATACAACAATCAGTTTACAGGACAGCTTCCTGAATCTTTAATCAATACTTCAATGGCTAGTTTGGATGTGGAGTATAATTATCTTTCTGGTGTTTTGCCTTCAGAAATTTTTGGGAAGTTGCATACACTTGAACATCTTCATTTATCTTTCAATAATATGAGTAGTCATGATAACAACACCAACCTTGGCCCCTTCTTCGGCGCCCTGGAAAATTGCACCAAGTTAACTGAGCTTGAATTGGCTGGCATGGGAATTGGAGGAACATTGCCTAACTCTATTGGCAGACTTAATTTAACAAATTTGTTACTGCAAGAAAACAAGATCACAGGATCAATTCCTCCGGGTATAGGGAACAATGCCTATCTGATATCTCTGAATTTGACATCGAATCAGCTAAATGGAAGTATTCCGGCAGAGATTAGTCGGCTGTCGAGATTGGAGCAGCTTTTCTTATCATTCAACTTGTTTTCTGGAGAAATTCCTGCAGCATTAGGCCACCTACCTCACTTGGGTCTGCTTGATCTTGCTTTCAATAATTTCTCTGGTGAAATTCCTGCAAGTCTAGGAAATTTAGTCCAAGTGAACTCTCTGTTTCTCAACGACAACCTCCTTTCAGGTTCAATACCGAAAACACTAGGACAGTGCACAGATCTCTACAAGCTAGACTTGTCCTACAACAAGTTGACAGGGAGCATTCCACCAGAAATTTCAGGTATAAGAGAAATCAGAATATTTCTAAACCTCTCACATAATCAACTTGAAGGGCCACTGCCAATTGAGCTTAGCAAGCTGGAAAATGTTCAAGATATAGACCTTTCTTCAAACAATTTTACTGGTAATATCTTCCCTCAGATATCAAACTGCATTGCTTTGAGGATGATAAATTTGTCCCAAAATTCTCTTGAGGGGCACCTTCCGGATACTCTACGTGATTTCAAGAACCTCGAATCGATTGATCTTTCGGGAAACCATTTATCTGGAAAGATCCCAGTTAGCCTCAACAAGGTTCACACCCTTACCTTCATCAATTTTTCCTTTAATGAGTTTGAAGGTATGATTCCCTCTGGAGGCATCTTTGAGTCAGTAACAAATATGTCATTCTTAGGCAACCGGCATCTTTGTGGGAAGGTTCCAGGCATGCCTATTTGCTCTCAAAAGCGACATTGGTTTCATTCACAGATGTTCCTGATTATATTCCTCATAGTCATAAGCATATCTTCATTCTTGTCAACAATATGTTGTGTCATTGGGTACCGACAAATTAAAGTAATGATTTCCTCTCAAGCTGTAAAATCTGAAAGGAGAAGAAAGCAAACAACACTGGATTTGATTCATAACTTCCCAAGAATTACATACAGAGAACTCTCAGAGGCCACTGGAGGATTTGATGAGCAGAGACTTGTTGGAACAGGTAGCTATGGGCGCGTTTATAAGGGAGCTCTTCCGGATGGAACAACAATAGCAGTCAAGGTCTTACATTTGCAATCTGGAAATTCGACAAAGAGTTTCAACAGAGAATGCCAAGTTTTAAAGAGGATTCGCCACCGGAACCTGATAAGGATCATAACAGCTTGTAGTCTACCAGATTTTAAGGCGCTTGTTCTTCCATATATGGCGAATGGGAGCTTGGACAGCCGTTTGTATCCACATTCAGGATCAAGTTTGGGTTCAGGCTCCTCAGATTTGACTCTGACTCAGAGGGTGAATATTTGCAGTGACATAGCTGAAGGGATGGCCTATTTGCATCATCATTCTCCTGTTAGAGTCATACATTGTGATCTAAAGCCGAGCAACGTTCTTCTCAATGATGAACTGACAGCTTTGGTTTCCGATTTCGGAATTGCAAGATTGGTGATGACAGGCGGTGTAGGAAATGCTGCAATGGTTGAGAACATGGGAAACTCTACTGCTAATATGTTATGTGGTTCCATTGGATACATAGCACCTGGTACCATCTCATTTTCTGCAGTCATTGTAATTCAAGTTTTGTACTTTGTTTCTAACAGAAAAGTTATTATATGTATTTTATCTGTTCAGAATACGGATTTGGATCAAACACATCGACAAAAGGAGATGTTTACAGCTTCGGAGTTCTAGTCCTCGAAATGGTGACTAGAAAAAGACCAACAGATGAAATGTTTGTCAGTGGATTAAGCATGCACAGATGGGTGAAAAGTCACTACCATGGAAGGATGGAAAAAGTTGTTGATTCTTCATTGGTGAGAGCTTCAAGGGATCAGTTCCCTGAAGTGAAAAGAATGTGGGATGTTGCAATAGGAGAATTGATTGAATTGGGAATTCTTTGCACACAAGAGTCTCCTTCTACTAGACCTACAATGCTTGATGCTGCCGATGACTTGGATCGCCTCAAGAGATACCTTAGCGGCGACACCACAGCCACATTTGCCTCTTCTCTCGGCATTTCTTCTTCTACACTAGGCGATGACTAACAGCTCGCCGATATTTCTTGTATATACATTATGTTTCCATTGGTTATCTAAATTACTTTCGCATTCACATTTTGTAAAGCTTGATGATGTTACTCTAGACATCAGAATAAGCAGCATAAATTGTCTGGACATTATATGCGACAAACTCAAACGACAACGAAAATTATGCACATTGCCAAGTCAAAATCCTTGCTTATGCTAAACAGCCTAAGGTCCAAAACACTTCATTTACGTATCTAAAAAGATATAATTGCTTTTGCTTTCAACAGAAACATCACAATACAAAGTAACTATAAAGGATCAAACAAGTCAAGGCTTTTGGCTTCAATGAAATAATATCTATTCTCCTTAAAATTTAAATATTCATATGTGGTTTAGTGCAGCTTCCACTTAGGCTGGAATGATTGTGGGAACACAATCATTCCAGCCTAAGTGGGTGAATGTGTGCCATGAGAATGACTGCCATATTCTATATTGAGTTGCAAATGGGCAGCCAATAATTTTGTAATTTCTATTTTCGCTTGACCTCGACAATACGAGGGAATTTATTAAAATAAAACAAAGTGATGACAAACACAGAGTTATGCAACTTCAATTATCATCCACAATTAGCAGAAATTGCAGGATATATATGCATATATTTCAGATGGTAAAGTCTTGAAGAATATAATAAGGTGAAAGGAATAACAAATGATTGTGATAAATCACACAAGCTCCAATTTCACTTTCCAATCATAATGGGAAAATTTCTGTGTCAAAATTCAAGATCACATGATGTTCTTGAAGATAAAAAAAATAAAATGTCAACTAAAATGGTTTCTAGAGACTAGAGTACCAACTTCTGGTTTTGTCAACATCCTCTGTTGTAAGTGGTGTCCAACATAACACTATCTCATCAAATTGGAAAACACAGAAGATATATGTATAGAAGCTATTCAAATATAAATAATGACACTGATTTTTTAAGATGAACAGTAAGGTTTGACATTACTATATTGAATGTTCATGATGCTGTCTAGTACTAGAGGACAAAGATGAATGGTAAATATTACAGTTTAATTGTTACAATCTGAACATGAATCTGTCAGTTGGTAAGTTATAATTAGAAGAAGGTGGTACAGGAGAATTTGCAAAATGAAGCACTCTTTGTAATTTGTAACTTAACACTTGTTTGCTTGTAATTTGTGAAGTTTTGCAAGCAAACACAAAAGTTTCCATCATTTTAGAGACCTCTCAAACACACAGGAAAGTTACTGAAATTTACTTTGTTTAGGGAGAAATAGCTGATTTGTAAAGGATTGTACATCCTTAGCCTCTTTTGTTTTTTTGAGACATCCCGTCCCCGTTCTTATCCTAGGGTTGGGGTGCTGGGCAGTTTTTCCTCTTTAGGTGTAATTCTTTATTCTTTATATAATTACCATTTACCCCCAAAAAAATTATAAATAATTGTATTAAAGTGTAAATAATCCAAATGGGCACTTTTTTTTTCTGATTTTTGAGAAATTATATTATATAACCCAAAAACTATTTGTGTTTCCAAACTCTCTCTCAACAGTTATTCCTCTCTATACTTTTTAAAGATAACCACTATATTTCAACCAATCAAGCCAATAGTTCAAATGAACAATATATACAATCCCACAAACACTTATCCAAACATATTATTTTTATTCAAAACAATTTAATTTATCATTCATACTGAAACATGACTTGATACAGAAGCATCCTTGTTTTACTATTCAACAAATCCAAAATGTTACCCAACTTGAATACACAAACTGGATTTTTGCAGGGCCAAATTGGGGTCGATATTTTGTTGGTCCAATTCAGTTCATGGTGTGCTATGGTGCTGTTGTAGCATGCACTCTTCTGGGAGGACAATGCATCAAGGTTAAGTTTCATTATCATTATAAATAACATTCAATTTCTACCCATTTACTGTTTAATCAGAATTATACTATGCTTTTTAAACTTGTTCTTCCTTTTTTGGCAGGCCATTTACTTACTGGTAGAACCGAATGGCACCATCAAGCTATATGAATTCGTGATCATATTTGGATGTCTTATGCTTATTTTAGCTCAAATCCCATCCTTCCACTCTCTCAGGCACATCAACTTGATATCTTTAGCTCTATGCCTCGCATATAGCGCCTGTGCTACAGCCGGCTCTATTTATATCGGTAAGAACAATGGCAGATTATAAACTTATTTCATCAGTTACAAAATGTGTANCTCGAAAATTGTAATGAGTTACAAGAGCTAGAGTTGGCAGGCATAATTTAAGACAGATTTTACTGCAAGTAAACAACACTGGATCAATTCATCTATACATAATGGAAATCTTAAAAACCTTGTAAAAATTCTAGTTGCTATAGGCAAACTCGCTCAGCTGATACTGCTTGATCTATCTTACGATAATTTCTCTGATTAAATCCTGCAAAGTCAAGGAAATTTGGTTCAGGTTCATCAACGCTTTCTTAACAACAATATGCTTTCAGGATCAATACCTTGATCGCTAGGACACTGCACAAATCTGCACGTTCTGTAAACAGTAGAGATAAGATATTAACCATGAAGTGGGATGAGAAAGTTGATTGAGATAAAACTATAAACAGAAGAGATAGTTTTAATTAAATTATCTTTTTTTTTTATATGAAAAGAAACCCCACCATTGATTCTGCAGCTGTCCCAACCATTCATGGAGATCTTCAAGACTTCAAGCAGTATGGTGTCACAAACAACATTGACTGTTCACCAATCAAACTCATCCGTCGGTGTACAATTTGACCCTGGACAAATTTTTTCAGTAGAAACCACAGAACATAAACAATTCAAAAAACTATCCAAACCCAATGACTATGGCACAAGTTGAAGTATAACTAAAGCACTTAATTTTACTGGCGGTGTGAGTGTGCATGTGAAGCATGTTCTATGAGCTAATATTTAAATTGCGCATGCCTACGATCTCTTGCAAAGTTTTTTTTGTCATCGATCTCATGGACATTAATTTAAGTTGACCTAAAAAACCACTCATCAGAGTTCCAAACCCATGATCCAGCTGAAAAAAGTACTTTATTGTCTACATATATCATAGCCCGCACTGATTTTCTCTTCCCAAAAGATAGGTTTCCAGCTTCAATGAAACCAAACTCCAAAAGTAATCACCTGTAGACAAATCGTAGCCTTTCCCTCTTTTTCGCTAGAGTTCTTGCTGTTATACTCCTATACGCTCCGATCTCTTAAATTTTATGCAAGATGTTCTTGATTAAAGCAGTTTTCGTACTTCTCCGTTTCATTCTAAGTACAGGTCAAGCAACTATGATGGGTCATGACCGTCATACTCACCACTCGTTGCTTACAGACAAGGCTGCCTTCTGGCGTCAAAAGCACCATAAAATTTGATCCAAATTGTACGATAGCTGGCTGGGGACGATGTTGATGTATGCAGCTTCGAGGTGTCAGATGCGGACAAACACCATCACCGTGTTAGCTCAACTTTTTTACCAGATTGTGGACTGACGGACCTTCTCACCCTTTTTTCAAATCTCACTGGCTTCGAGTCTAAAGCTCTTTACAATCACTTTTCCGGAGTCATTCCACCTGAATTTTCGCACTCAGGCACCTCCTTTGTCTCCACTAGATGAGAACATTTACAAGGCCGATACCAGAGTCCTTTGCTCTTCTTTAAACTCCGTACATTAACTCTTTCAGAAAACAGTTTACAGAAGCACTTCCACCTTCCTTCTTCCGCAACTGCACTTCACTAGGAATTAGACTGTCCCCAACTTTTTCACTGGAAAAATTCCACAAGAATAGGAATAGTCCACATCTATGGTCCCTCAATTTATACAACAATCAGTTTTAGGACAGTTCCTGCATCTTTGGTAAATACTTCAAGTTAATTTGGATGTGGGGACAAATAATCTTTCTGGTGAGTTGGCTTCGGATATCTTGGGGAAGCTGTCTTATTTAAATATCTCCAATTATCATAACAATATGATAAGTCATGACAACAACAGCAATCTCGAGCCTTCTTCACCGCCTGGAAATTGCACAAGCTTAGCCGGCTTCAGTTGGTTAGCATGGGCCTCGGAGAAGATGCCCAGTTCAATCAGCCAACTTAATATAACAAATGTTATTGCAAGAAAACCAGATCACCGGATCAATTCCTCCGAGTATAGCAAATCTTTCCTACCTTATGACTCTAAATTTGACTTCAAATCATCTGAAGGAAAGATATCGTCAACCATTGTAGGTTGTCGAAATTGGCGAGCTTTTCTTATCACACAAACTGTTCTCCGATGAAATTCCAGCAGTATTAGGTCAACTCTCATCTGGGTTTGCTTGATCATCATACAATAATTTCAGTGGTCCTATCCGGAAAGTCTCGGAATTTAGTTCGGTTGAATTATCTGTTTCTCAACAACATTTGCTTTCGGGATCAATCACCGCGAACTTTAGGCGTGCATAGATCTGTACAGCTAGACTTATCCTACAACAGGTTGACTGGGAGACTTCCCCAGAAATTCGGGTATTACATGCAATCAGAAATTTCTAAACCTCTCCCATAATCATCTCGAGGGGCCATTGCCAATTGAGTTTAGCAAACTGGAAATGTTCAAGAGATAGACCTTTCATCAAACAAATTCACGGAAATATCTTCAACTCAGATATCAAGCTGCATTGCATTGACGTTGTTAAATCTATCTCACCAATGCTCTTGGGGAAAGCTTCCACATTCTCGGGTGATCTGAGAACCTGGTATCACTCGGTTTCAGAAATCACTTATCCGTATAGACCAACAAGCCTCAGCAAAATGTAACCCTTACCCAGGCCGGCTTAAGGTAGGCAGGTGAGGCACCTGCTAGGGCCCAAAAAATGGAGGCCAAATTTTGTATAAAGTTTTTTTTTTTTTTTTTTGAATATCTTATAAAATTGAAATGGTTTAAATATATCTTACGTAAGGGCCTTACTTCATCAATCTTTCTTTCAACAGTTTGAAGGTAGATTCCCTCAGTGGCATTTGATTCAGTACACATATGTCATTCTAGGCAATCCGTCTTGTGG